CTGTCTAGAAACGACTAACAGGTAGCCAGCAGCCAGAGTGGGAATAAATATTGTTCACATATTGAAGCCATTTACTCTGCCCGGGCCTCTATTACTCACTCTGACTGAGGAACAGGAGGAACATATAAAAGTTTAATCATCCTTGATCACATGTGTACACACCACTACATGATTTCTAATTGGTTTTTCATCACCAGTAGTTACTGCGTCCATTTTAGTGTTAGTCTCCCACGCGTCTTCTGTTTCTTAGCATGGAAACAAATAGAATGGCATTGTTCACATAATTTGATCGAATCTATGCAACTGTGAATTCAGTTGTAGGAATTGAAGTTTAAGAAGGTCCTGTAATTTTGTAAAACAGAGATTTTTCTTAGCTGTTTTCCCTAAACTCTTGCTAAAATTGCCTCCTCCTCCATTTAACTCTTACAGGCAGAGTTAAATGGAGGTTGTGTTTTCGGAGGCATTGTCTGCGTGTCAGTGGGTCTGCCTGTCTGTCAGCAGGATGTCTTTGACTGAAGGGATTTGCATAAAAGCTTGTGGAAGAGTTGGCCACACAACAAGGAGAAACTGATTAACTCACTCCAGATAGAATCCATTGCTTGGCACTAGTTTACACCTCTAAAGCATTTTTCAAAAATAACTATACAGCTTATTTTGAAATAGAATTGTTTTTCAAAAGCCTGCTATTTGTTACATGTTGTGATATGTACTTTTTGCAGCGCTTAAAGATTGTAAATGCAATATTTGCCTGAGCTCTTACTTTGATTTTCCTAACAGGAAGCAGTGTTCATGGGCAATGGGGAACAGTACATCTGGAAGCCTCCAGAGGACAACGACATCATCACCTTGCACCCACCTCCACATCACCCACCTGGGGAGAATGAACAGGGACACCCATCGCCTCCAACTGCAAAGGAGGTAGTATGTGTGTCTGTGTATGTGGTGGGAGCTGAGGGAGGGACTACTAAAAAGTAAGGGCTACAAGAAGATGGATAGATAGACAGGTTTCTGATTACTGCTGTGTTTACCGAAGGGGGCGCCCATCTCATATGGCATGCCGTCATAGTACTGCTGCCCTGTGACCTGCCTGTCATACAAGGTTTCTGCTTACAGGCAAAGGTTGCGTGACATGGATCCAACACCCTGCTTGCGTGAACCCTGACCCTAATCTCCAGCCCCTCCCCCCACTCATCTATCTGCCTTGAAAGTATGAGCAGACAGATCAGACATGAGTATTGCTTGCTCTGAAATAATTAATAATCTCTTCACATTCATGGAGATGCTTGTTATATGCTAGATTTTGGTTGGGGTTTTTTCGCTTCATCAATCCAAGACCATGACCTCGACTGGGATGTATATATATGTCAGCATATGTCTGGTGGGGGAAGGAGGAAACCTGCGCTTTGCCAGTCATGTCAGATACTCCACCGCATGCGTTTCTGCAGAGCAACGCCACCCCCACTTTTCCACTCTCGGTCCCCTGTCTCATCTTTTCTCTCTGCTGGATACAGAATGAAGTGCTGAGAGAATTGCAAGTTGTGTAGGAAATTCTGTTATGCCCGAGGGGCTGGGGGAGTCAGTCCAGCTAGATGGACAGGCATCCCCGAAATAGACCCCTGTCTATAATTAGTCTGTGTTTAACACAACTTCTCTTTTTCCATTCCATTCACCAATATTTTCTATCATCTTCAACAGGCCAGGGATAGTTTCTGTGCAGTAATAGTTTCTTAATTTTGACTACAAAATAAAACTTTCTTGCATTAAGGATGAGGAAAAAAGGATGAACCAAAATAAAGTATGGTTGTATCCATATTGTCTATCTGTAGGCATGTTCAGAACAGTAGAGCAGCAGTCCTGACAAGTTTAAAGCTACTGCTAAGTTTCTTGTCTACGCCTGTGTTGAGCCACACAATGCTGTTGAATGCTGTATGTGGAGACGAAGAGGTTACGTCTCAACTGTTTGGCTTCACTTTAACTCCTCTTTTTGCAAATCAGACTGATACACAGAGCAGCTGGCCTTGAATGCATCCTGCTATCTCTTTTTCTTTTTTTTGTCTTTTACAGACTTTTCTCTCTTTTTAGCGGCTGTTTTTCTGTTTTCAGTTGCCCTAACATGCCGATATACTTTGTATCCTCTAGAGTTTGTCAGTTACAATCGTCGAAAGGTGTTGGATTTCCACTCCCGACTAAATCTCCTCCTCTTTTCTGGCGCTCTCTTCTTCTGCTCCACTCCATTTGTGGCTATTAGGAGGCGCTGCCTTCCCCAACCAATCGCATTGCATGAAACATGTCTTACCAGATGAATATCAACTGCTAGAAGACTGTTTGGAAACTTGCGCCATATCTGCTATTCATAAAGTTGATCACACACAGATGCATCATGCATATGGCTGTTTCCACTGCAAATCAGCAAATGCAGAAAATAAATTTGTGACTTAGCGAAGCCTCGGTCTAAGCAGAGTGTTCAAGCAATGCCAGAAACATAACAAAAAGGAGTACTGGGTGAGGAAGGAGAAAAGAAAACATACAATGTGCAGGCTTCCTCAACAGCTGCAGATACGAAGCCCAGTTTTGAAATCCCCATCATCTTGTGACTTCCTTCCTCTGCAGCAGAGCTGCAAATTCTGTGTGCACACGTGTGCATACGCTTGCACATACACACACACAGGCACACACACACACACACACACCACATTGGCTGCACACACTTACACCATACGCTAGGGTCTTTGTTTATCCAAAAAGGTCACAAAAGAGAGATTTGTGGGGGGAGGGAGTGTGCATCGCTTGAAATCTCTCAGAGATAGAACCAACAAACAGAGGAGAGAGAGAAAGATTTACAGACAGTGAAAGTGATTTACACTGAAAGTGTATTTCAAAGGGACGGTAAATATGTAAGACATATAAATGCAAGGTGAGCACACGCACAAAGAGCACTGTCTCTGTGTTCTCAGGTTTCAGTTGTTTGGGAGTGCACAAAAACAAGACTAATCTTGCTCCGCGTGTAAGCGTGTACATGTCTTTGTGTGTGTGTTTGTGTGTGGGGGTGGACACAAGAGTTTGCATAGCCAGTGTTTCTCAGGGCCAGTAGATCAGAGCTGCTGGCCTGGGTGTGAACACGGAAGGTAAACAAGACCATGTCCCACAATCCTCTGCTCTTATGCTTCTATTGTGGGGAATTCTGATAAACCAGTGTCGTGACCTCTGGTATTTCTGTGTCAAAATTGCATAAGACCTCACACATGGCCTTAGGTGGCAAATTCTAGATGTCCGATTTTCTCATTCGGACATCTGCATATGCAGTATGAGCTCACTCATACTGCATATGCAGTCATGCTGCACGCACATGCAGAGCACGAAAAAAAAATGCACATAAGCAAATAAGACGAGAACAAAGTCCATTAATGAGCACAAAGCTTTTTTATTTTTTTTACATTTTTTTTTTGCAAGTTGGCTGTGATCCAGCTCTTTCACACTATACTTCTGTTGCCAAAGCAGTCGTGGTGAAACTTTAACAGGTTCGTCCACTGCACAGTTAATGCTGCCTCTCGGCCTAGAACTTAACGGACTGATAACATAGTTTACTCTTTCTTATCCTGCCCTGTAAAAAAAAAAAAAATAGGTCAGGTCACAGCACAGAGCTCTGTCAACACATACACAAACTGTTGGATACGTACACAGTCCAGGCTCAGACAATTATTATTTGTCTGAGCCTGTAGTATATACAAAACGACTTATTCACAAATTATACCTTTATATCTGGAATGCATACAGAAGTGGACAAAAACGGGTAATTACAAAAATATTGGAGCTACATATAGATAACTCAGGAACTGGGAAAGAGGTGACTATTTAAATGCCAGTGCAAGTGTGGTTACGGACTTTCACCAACACATAGCTTCTATTTAAGGAGCTGTCATCAGTGGACTACAGGATAGAGTTGTAGTGCAGCGTTATTAACTAACAACATCTTCCTTCTCCTACTGTGTGTGTTCTCAGATTGCAGACACCTACTCTATCGTATGTAAAACCCAGAAAAAGAAACCTCCTATGGAACACAATGGAGCCAAGACCCTCCCACGATCCTTTGGTGGAGATAGAGGAAACATGGGTTCTCGGGGCCGAGGTAGGGGAGTCCAGAGCCAAGCACGTTCGCAGGAGGAACCCTGCTACGAGCCTGTAGGAGACAGGTCCTGGTCTTCCCCAGTGGCTGAGTCAGACCCTGCATACGCGACTATCGACCCACACCGGAAACGTGAGCAAGGGGGAACCAATAACAGCACAGCTGGGGGTAGTGCCACTCTGAAGAGAAAGAAGCAGCAGCAGCAGCAGCAGCAGGCAACACCAGCAGCACCTCAGGCCTCAGGACCAAGCACCCTTCCTACTAGAGGCCTGCCTGGTGGGGAAAACTTCTATGAGACCATCAGTGATGTGAAACAAGGGGGCAACAGCACTACCACCATCTTTACTTTCAATGATGGCATGGAGATGTATGTCACAGGCCTGTAGCTGACTGACAGGCAAAAGGGCCCAGAACCCACTGGTATAGAGTCTGGAGATTTTCCTGTTTACAGAACAACAGGTTGCTGTACATAGACACAAGGCCCTCTATAGTAAAACAACATGAGGATCCATTTTGTGTTGAAATCAGGTACAAACAGGGTCTTTATCCAGGTTCAGACTTCCTTTGATTGGTCTGTACTTAAGAACCAGCCTAAGCCTAGTCCAGCCCAAATATGGACTAAAATCATTTGAAAAAACAAACAAACAAACAAATAAAACTGGGATAGAGATCTTCAATCTGCTGTGTCACTCACCATAGTCACCTGTTTGTGCAACATTTTCCATAATATCTTTATTTTTATATGAAAACTCTTTAAAGCATATGTGGTGTAACTCACAACCTCAGAAGAACACA